GGGGGGGGTGTCTCTTTCTGGCTCGCTCTGTGGCCGGGTGTCATTGCCTTCTGGTTTGGCTTTCTAGAGCTGCAAGAATGATTTATCTCTCAACTGGATTTCATCCATCATTCTGTCCAAGAAGGTCCCTCTTAGTTCTTCGATTAGATCTACAGACTTCAGGTTGCCATCCCTGGATGCAGAGGGATAACACACTTGACTGCCAACTGGGACGTTAAAGCTTCCAAACCAACCTAGAGGTGCCTCAGAAGAAAGGCCTGGTACTCTCCTTCTGGAAAAGCAGCCGTTCTCATCTAACACACCTGATGTCTCCGTGGTCCAGAATCGACTAGATGTCGGCTGTTGGCTGCATTCTTCGGGTTGGCATGCAAAGCCACGGGTGGTGGGCACTGCTTTTCTCCCCCATCTGTAGACCCTCCGTTCTAAAGCTTCCTTCTCTACTTACCTTCAGACACTCTGTCACTGAGAAGGGCAGTGTTCTAGAACCACCTGCTTTTTCTTGGCATGTGATTAAGCCAGACAAACCTAGGTTGGAATCCGGACTCTAAACCTTATTGGTTGTGTCGTCCTGAGTGACTGCTTCATCTAGCTCAGCCTCGCTTTCCTCATCTGTGAAACAGGAATACTATAATACAAGCATGCTCTCCTAGGGGGCCAACCTTATGTAAAATGCACTGCACGGGTCTTGGCACGTAGCTGGGGATCTTTAATTAGCAGCCTTAACTATAACCATTGTCCTTTGACAATCTTTTCAGACTGTTTGTCATTTCTCTCAAGGCCCTCAGAGCTGATTGTTCCAATCGGTTTCCCTCCTTTATTCTCTGGAACATATCATGTTACAATGATATAATAAATCAGAGTACAGAATACATCACAATACACCATTTGCCATGATATAATTCTTTTCTCGGCCATTTTTATGCACCTTTTCCCAATCAACTGAAAAAGCACTGCAACCATCCTTTCATTCCTTACCGATCTCTGTGGTACCTAATTTACCATGGCTCCTCTCCCCCACATCCTCCTCCCCCTAAGTCCCTCCAGAACGGTCAGTCCCACTGCTCTCTCCTCGGGCTTGCTTTCCGTGCCGATCTTATACAGGTCAGCAAAACAACAACAGAGACAAGGCAAAAAATAAAATAAAAGATTGAATAAAAATGATTTTAATCAGCATCCCCCCCAAAAAGCATAAGTCCATATCTGTCTGCTAACCTTTATGACTATCTCCCCACTGGGCCTGGGGGCAGGGGGTTCCCAGAACTGCCCCTCCTATCCTGGACTGTTTGGGGGGCTCCTCAGGGGGTTTGTGGCTCATCCTTTCTCCCATTGCTGATCTGTTCCCTTCTTGGTTTGCCCCATTGTAAGGGAATCCAGGGTTGCTTAAAATCCTGTTTGGGAAGCAAGGCCAAGAGTGACTTCTAACCAAATCAATAAAAGAGAACCTCTCTGAGCAGAGAAACTGTTAATGTTCCCTGAAGGGCCATTCCTCTTTCTGTTATGTTG